GTAGCAAGGTGAATACGGTACCGGTATGATACGATAGCAAAGGGAGTAAGAGGCAAAAGGTGAAAGAAAGAAAAAAAAACAAGAAACCCCTTGGAAGATCTCGAAGATGCAAGCCTTTGGCTTTCAGACGTCCATGCTTCTATTTCTGGAAAACCTGCGCCGTGGTACAAAGATGATACTTACTCCCCCAACCCCTTGCGGGGCCACTCCAGTAAAACACAAGCTAGCGTGCGCAACAAGCAGGATAAACTCGCAGGTTCAAACAGAGATTGTTCCCCCCCCCCCAGCCCTCCACCCTTCCACCGGGGCACAATTGCTCCAGATCGGATCGTCGGCCAGAGGTCCATTGGAGACCCCTGCATCAGAAGAATGGTTTCAAGTTCAGCCCTCCCCCTTCTCGGATTCTACGCTCGCGCAAAGAGGTTGGATCGGGTGCTGGAGTAAGCGCTAGATTAGCAAGAGCCCATCCCGTCACATTTCACAAGTTTCGGTTATACTCACCAAGAAGGAAGTCTTGGCGTTATTACTAGGGAAGCAAAGGCCCAACCCGATTGGGGGGATCACTCTCCCCCGCGGAAGGATTCTCGTGATGATTTAGAAGGTATGAATCTCTGTGGCAAATGGGGGTGGGATTTTTTGCAGCTTTTCATTCAAGGGTGGGTTCGAGAGAATTTATATAGGGGATCGGCAGAGTTACGCGGTTAGGTGCCCGTATGCCACTCATGGCGGCGACAATTCCCAAAATAGCCTCCTCTTTCTTGCCATTGGGTGCGGTGCGGGTATTCGGGTGGTCGGTGATCTCCAGCAACAGTCCAAACACTCTGGCCATCTGAAACATTCGCAAAACCGGGTTAATCTGAATCACTATAAATCACTCGAGACGACAATAAGGGTCGAACAGAGCATTATCAAGCTGCTAAAAAAAACCTCTCGAGATTAATCCCATGCCACAAAAAATAGGCGGATTAGGAGCAAGTGCCTCAGAACGGCGTAACGATGCGGTTTGTACCCCGTAGTGCTCCCACCCTAATTATCGTGTCACTCCCTGGACAGTGCTTCGCTGCCGCACGAGCAGTCCATCGTAGCGCTTCAATTGACCGCTCTCCGCAATCACAGCATCTGGTACTCTCCCTAACAACTTGCTGATCCTTCTCCTGAACAATCCTCCTGCATTGGGGGGGGGGGGAAGTTGCAGGATGAATAAATCGGACCATGATATAAATTCCCTATAAATAGAAGCAAAACAGTCCTCATTCCGCAACCTGCATAAATTAGCTGCATGGTCAAACATTACCGGTACCCATAACCTCCAGAAGCGATAAAGAAACTGATAGGGCGCGGCAGCATGACCCACTATCAGATCAGTGCAGAACACATCCCTGCAAGACCGCCATATTTCCCAACCCCGGGTGGTTATTCATCAGCAGGCGGTGGTTCGAGAAATCGGCCCGGCTGGCATTTGCCTAGGGTAGGTACCAGTAGGGTAGAGCACCGGCACTACAGGGGGGAAGTATTAATTCGCGGTCGCCGCCTGAATACGGTGGTCATGAAGGAGATGATATTTTCCATGACATGGAGCAGATACCAGTGCAGCCGCGTCCACAAGGCTCCCATGCCCTCCCAAGCACGACCACCATCCGGAAAATCTTCGCTACCGTAGACCTCTCTTCCCCTCCACCATTTGGTAAAACAAATTTTGATAAAATTTTACAATATCCCCAAAGGCATGTCCAAGAACAGCTATCCAGATGGCTGTGGCCGCTCTGCTGTTGTTAATAAGTGCGGTTCTTGAGGTAAAAGGGGGGGGGGGTATAAGGACCTTACGGACGTATTTTTTTGTTAAGTCCTAGAATTTATTTGCTTAAGGTGCAAACCTCCGCTATAAGGACCCCAGGCTCCACCCCAACCACCCTGCCAAGACAAAGCTAGCTAAGACAGACCACCCATTGCCCCCAATTTAACCCTTAGGTATGTGGGTCAAAAACCTCCTAGTGCTGGCCAAGGGAAAAACAAGCCGCCCCAAGTCCCTCTGGTCCAGGACCAACTGCACATCCCACATAAAGAAGGGCACCAACAAGTAGACAACCCAACCCATGTAGGCAGGAAGCAAGCAAGAAAACCCCACCAGTAGTACATCATTTTAACAAAGGAAACCAAATTCCAACAAAAGAAACCTCCCTGAAAAAAATAACAAATCTCCCATTTTTGCACCGCCCATAGTCCCCTGAGGGGCATGCTGGTTCATTGGGGAACTAAAATTTTCAATCAAGTTCATAGCTGGGACACTAGCTTGGCGATGCCAGGCCCCGTAGAGAGGTTCATCATGGACAGGCCAAGCAGGAGTGTAGCCTGAGACAGTGCTATACCAATCACATGTTGCCAGATATGCCAGCCATCAATATGTCGAAAGTCCGACTGTGCCAAAGTAGGCTCAGAGGGATGAGAGTATTTCATACCTGAGTGGTTAAGCGAGGGGCCGCCACAATAGGGAGGAGGAGGCATGTTTAAAGTCCAACACCTAGCAGAGGCACTGAGGGCCAGATACTAGGAGGGACGTGTGTTTCTTTTAAACCCAACCGATAAAATTTCTCACTTACCCCAAGCCTATGAAGCCTCAAAGTTGGGCGAGGGAGGAGGATTGTGAGGGTGTGGTAGTGTTTACCCCCATCTCCATCTGCCTAAATAGGAAGGCGAAAATAGGGGTCCGGAAAATAGAGGAGAGGAAGCTTGGACCTTACGGACGTAGTCGTACCGATACCGGTACTTAAGGGTGAATGCTAAAAGGGCGAGGTGGGCTGATGCGCCGCACTGTCCAGTGAAGGACTCGGCACGGTACGCCACCGACAGCACTAATTTGAGTTAAATGGTACGCTGAGCTTATGTATCGCAACTCCTAAATTATGATACCCCCTACCGCACCGCCTTACGGGTATCCTGCCAGGAAAGGTTTTACCTTTCACTCTCTCTCGCTGCCGCCCTCGACACTGTTGTTACGGGTTTGTATCTCTCTGGGCATGGGAATGGGAGCACCTGCTGCGACCGACGATACCTGCGTACAAACGAAAGGCGTTCGTCACACTCCCTCCTAAGTGGAACCGCCGATCCCAGGAATAAAAATAGGATAAAAGACTCCCTACACTTTACCACTGGCAGCATCGGCACCGGTATTATACTCTGCAACCGCGATGACTTACGCAGTGGACCTCACGCCCCCCGTAAAATACCCAAACTCGGCCCACCGATCCTCCAGCACCGCGCTGTACTCGTCGGGTCAACCCCGCCACAGCCCCTATAAAACTCACTTCGGTTCAGACATTACGCGAGCCCTCAAGTTATGCACCGCATTATAGCCGAGAAGATCTCTGCACTCGCAACACGCAGCGCATAAGCTGCACTTCCCTATGAACCTAAATTAAGCACAACCCTAACCCACGGTCACAATCTCTCTCAGCGCCATCACACGTACTAGTACAGTACCGTAGGCTCGTCCCGTACACTGCCGGTACGATAGACCACCGTGCAGAAAACCGGAAACACCAACCTTCCACGAGTACCGAGCCGTGAGATCCTACCCCAGAACCCGGCGAAACTACCGTAGTTCCCACGCCGGAAGGTCAAAAGAGAGTGCGGCTCAACACGTGAGCTGGTCCGGGTGGGGAGCGGACTTCGGGGGTATCGTGGGGTTTTCACAGACGCAGACGTTTGCCGCAGTGCGTCATTCGCGAGACCTTTTGCCACCCGCTTAGAGGAAATACGAGTGCCGGTACCGGTACGGCGCCGGTAACTGTGCCGGGAGGGGCCGCTCCGCGAAGAATCCAAAGCCACACTTTATTCTGACCTCGGCGGGAAAATGGACCTCGCCGGATTACGCCATTGTGCTCGAGTGCCGTGGGCGAGACGAGGCATTAGCTGGATCTATCCCCATCATGCGCATTATCTCTCGACATCCATGCCAAGAGAGAGACTGGTGTTTACTCCTCTCAGGTTCCGCCGAAGCATTTTACATAGTCAGAGGACTACTCGTAGGTGGAGCAAGGATGGGGACTCTACCGTACCCGAATACCGGTATTGTAGTGACCCAATCCCATGCGAGGAGTTGGGATGACAAGGGTCGAACCATTGGTCCAACATGCCGGTAATTCAGGAACGTTTGAGATTTACTTTGGGGCGCTTACCGTTCTTAGCTGTCCACCTCCCTGTAATGCTACCGTAGACTCTCAGTTCACAATAAAGAAAAAATTCCACAGTGACCATTCATCCAAATCAAAACCCTGCGATTCCTCTGGCATCTCGCTTGTGCAACCGGATCGCTCCCGCAATTCTCGAGCGATGTGTCATGGCAGTCGCGATATTCCCCCATGTCAGAATCTAGTACGTAAAGTCCAACATCAGTCAAAGGTACAGTATGGTGGCGGTCATCTATAACGTGGACCAGTGGAGATTCAAAATGTAATGCCTTATACAATCAGGGTAAGGGGTATATATAATGATAGGTTTGGATTCTAGAGGTTGTATCATACTTTCAAGTCTTCTTCCAGATACCGGTAAGGCTTTTCCACATTCTTCCCGAAATACTTCCCTTCCCTCGCTCTTTGTATATCAGGGTAAAAAGACCCCAGTAGAAAGCACCAAATACTGAGCACATACAGACCAAATTATAAATACCTATTGGTCTAAGCTTGTATATGTCCTTAGAAAGTATGAAAATATTGTGCACAGGATACATCACTGTGTAAATAACTTTCATTGGATTCTACTTGATCAAATACAAGTAGAATACTTTCTTTTATAAGTTTGCAATTCCAAAAACAAAACAATGAAGAAAAAGGAAATGAGCATATAACCCCCACAGTTCAAATTTGTCATTAAATACCCCTTACCCTGATTATATAAGGCATTGCATTCTAAATCTCCACGCTATAGATAACCGTGACCATATCAAAGACCACCGTATTCCCAACGTGCAACCGTGCTGAGAGATCCTTATTAGTAATACACATGCGCTAATAGCTCAGTTGGGAGAGCGTCAGACTGAAGATCTTACTACTTCAGCTCTTGAAAACCCGGGGTAATCTGAAGGTCACCCGTTCAATCCGGGTTTGGCGCATAGTTTTTTTCCCCCCTTCCCTCCCTCACCCGAGCGGTGATCTGTCCTGTCCCCCACTCGAATGCGTTAAGCTGTTAGACCAGGGCAGACATACTTGTATGATCTGTCTTGAGCAAATTGTTAACTTTGTGTGATATACTGTATTATGATCCTCTCTCGGTCCTTCCTTCCCCCTGGAGAAGCCTTTTCCTAAAAAAAATTAAATTTAAATATCCTTCTACTTTCAAGAAAAAACCCGAGGGCAATGCTAGACACTGTGTTGTGATACATATGATACTATATTGGATGAGTTCCAGTCTCGTAGGCGTAAACCCCGGGCATCAATGAAGTGTAATGTACCACCAGGTGTACAGTAAACACTGAGCTTGAACTCATGCCCGCCAAAGTACTCTTACGCCCATTTTGATTCACCAGCTACTGTATGTAGTAAGTATGGATCTTCCCCTAGCTAGACATCCAGAGAGTATCTCCTGACCCCTGGTAGATATATCCCCGAACCAACAGACTGCTATTGAAAAAGGATTATGATGCAGATATTTTCCCACCCGGAGGAGTATGGTTGTTAGGAATTCCGGGAAAATGTCCGGTTTAATGGGTAGGAAGTCTAGTGGGTCCCGTGGGCGTTGGAGTGGATTCGGAATACTGGTATTGGTATTGATGTGTGCTGATCGATATCTTGATGTTATATGAGTGGTTGGAGCATTTTGGAACTTAGGAATCCCGTTGCGATAGGGCACTTTCCGCTTACGGTACCCATGCTGGGCAACTATTCTTTCTTCCCCCTCCTTTACGGCCTACCGGCACAGAGTGATACATATTAGTGATATTAATAATATTAATAATAATGCATCTTTCAATGCCCAGACGCAATGCTCACCGCCTCAGCGCAATTCTCAACAACAACAACAACAACGGACTTTCTGTGGAGAGGCTTGGGAAATCGGTTCCAAATGCCTGTGGGAGGTCATACATCAAGAACCCCTCGGTTATTCTTCCAAACCTTTGCTCCGTTGTATCATTTTGTATTGGCACATCAAACCGGATTTCATATCTTGCTAACCCTACCAAAGACACAGCCACAACCACTACAACACCAACACTTAATGAAGGTACCACACCACGACGAATATGACTAGAAATCACAATGCGGTCCTGAAGTGAACTTTTTCAGGGCCCTCGGGATCTGAACAGGGCATAAGAGAAATATCGAATGCGGGACCAGCAAGCTCGCCACAGCTTAGTACAGTACTCCCCTGTTCCGCACGAAAACCGTAAATTAGACCAAAACGCAAATGATAATCTTGGGAAATTTGGAGAATCAGGGCCAAAATTGAAATCATGGACCGTTTCGTTACGCCCGCAATTTCGAAGCGTGACCTTTAAGAGTGTTGTGACTTGTGCCTAGCGTGCTATTTAGAACCTTCTGGGTGGTGTCTCTGATCACACTAGTGATCCCAGCACGCTAGACACCCCCCTTACATTACCGTACCGTACCAGAAGAGCGGTAAACCAATCATAACACCAAAACCGCGACTAAGATCAAGAAACGACAAAACCGTCCCGGGGATCACTTCAGGCATGATCTCGCACCCAATTAGACCTACGGTACCGATTCTACCGTATCCCACTTGATGTCAGATCAGATCAGTGAATGCGCCGGGCCGGGCCGCAACCAACTTTTTCGCCAAAGAAACACTACTGGGGTAGCGGCCGGAATACATGCTCTTTTTAAAGCTCTGGTCACGGAGCTTGGCCGACGTACGACACTCATAGACTCAATCTGCCCAAGTAGTCGTGTTTCCCCTACCGTACAAGTACATCCTGTTGGGTTTCATGGCTTGTTTCTCAGCATCTTTTTATGGTGCGCTCGAGTATGTTAGAGATGTAGGTGTGGCTCGGGCTAGAATCGTTTTTTGTTCCTGGCGATGTTTGCTGCACGCTGAATTACTAAGTGGACGGGTGGGAGGTGGTAGTGTTATTACCTTTGGGACCCCCAGGAATTAGTGAACGGGTAAATGAATGAATGAACAATGCAATGAATAATGTAGGTTGGGTAATCTAAGCTTGCTATAGGAAATGAGGGGGAAAAACAACAGCTTCTGATAAAGATATGAAGACAATCTGTCCTATGATATTTCGAAATCCAACTCCTCCTTCGTCCGAGGTAAATTTTGGGGTATGGAAATGGAATCACAACTTCGTGTTTCTCAACCACTCTAGCAGCGGACCCATGACCGAGCACTCAAAAACTCTCACAACCCTTCCCAATCACTCCCCATCCTCCTCTGACCCCTCACCCCCCTTCTTCATCCTCAACCCCACCCCTCTCTCTCCATCCCCTCACACTCTCCCCACAAATCCCCTCCAACCACCCCCTAACACAACCTATAATTTCCTCGGCAACCCTTCCCGCTTCCCCCCCCTCCTTAACCTTATCTTCCGCATGCCTCACTAGTGACCCCAACGTCACAAACTTCCTCCCGCGGGGATAAACATACGGCTCTACGGAGTGAGCCCCCACCTCATCAAGGTGCGCCTGCAGGGCGGCGGCAGACTTGAACTTTCTCCGTCGGCCCCGGCGGCGAGATCTCTTGCACAGGGGGCACGTGAGTGCGTTTGCAAACTGCGGGTTTGAGGTTAGGGGTGTTAGGTATGAGGGTTCCTGCTCCTGAGCCAGGATTGAGGATGGGAGGAGGAAGTGGGGAGGCGTTTCTTCTTCGATTGGCCACTGGTTGCGGGTTGCGGAAGGCGGCGGAGTGGGTAGTTGTGAAGGCTCAACAGCGGGAG